AAGACAAAGAAAAATAAAATATAGAAATCCCAGTTCTGGTGCTGCCCACACAAACCCAGAGGTATCAGAAATGTTTATTTATTTCATATAAAATACTCCACAGACCTACTGAAAAGTTCTTCCTGAGGACAACCCTTATCCTTTAGAATCTCACATTCACATTGAGGAGCTTATTTAGTAGTCATTAATAAATGCTACATTTGACACAATCCACTGCTCTGCATCTCCCTGCACCAGTCAGGATTGCTCTCTCACTGGAGTCAACAGGGTTTTGCTAGAAAAAGTCATTTCACAATTGTAGACTTTGTGCTACACACCTGGTGCCTTTTTTGACCTTGAACTGGCAAAAATGTGTTCCCAATTTAAGGCTTCATATTCTGAAAAGAAGGAAAAACCAGGAGGAGCAGCAACATAGAACTATCAGAATGTTTCAGTCTAGTTTTTTATGGTTTATCAATATCTTACTGGATATTTTGCTCTAGTAGCAAGTCGAGTCTTTTCATAAGTACCTTATATTCACTGAACCTATCTGCAGTAAAACCCCAGGTTTCAGTTATTGTGAGAAAGCACCAGTGAATCCCAACCAGTCTTTTAACCCCCAAAAATAGTTTACTAAAGAGCATTCTGGGAAAGAATGTTGGAAAAGTATGTGGGTTACAGTCCTAAGGTAAAAAGGTAAAGGTACCCCTGCCCATACGGGCCAGTCTTGACAGACTCTAGGGTTGTGCGCCCATCTCACTCAAGAGGCCGGGGGCCAGCGCTGTCCGGAGACACTTCCGGGTCACGTGGCCAGCGTGACATTGCTGCTCTGGCGAGCCAGAGCCGCACACGGAAACGCTGTTTACCTTCCCGCTAGTAAGCGGTCCCTATTTATCTACTTGCACCCGGGGGTGCTTTCGAACTGCTAGGTTGGCAGTTACAGTCCTATTTTGCTGCAAATACTTATTTCAAGTAAAAAGGAGCACATAGGAAAATCTATCTTTTTTGCACATGGACAAACTGAGAAAGGGTCTACAAAGAGCTGATCTAAAGTAAAAGAGAATTATATAATACTTTGTATGAAATTCACTACAAAAAAATAAGGTGACAACCACTTTTGTTTTTGTTTTTTAATTGACATCCATGGCTCTCCAATCAGCTATCTGGGAGATTACATCTGTAAAATCACAAAGGTCTAACTCACTTTGTGGACCCACCCATAGTGACTACCACATCAGGGAGTGAAAGCCTAGACAAGGAAAGGTGTAAAAACTGGACAATACAACATTCTAGGATTAAACATTGGCCAAAACGTTATCAATTACAGATGTAGGTAGGCTTTGGCTCAGGCACTGGGTATATACCCATTCTCAGCCTCCAGATGGAGGGCTGATGCTAGAGCAGGGTCTGTGTGGCTTTATGGGACCTCCTCAAGGTGAAGTCCGTCCCCCCCCCCCAGGATGCAGCTGGAAGCTCTATGGCCATCTGCCCCATGCTTGGCTTCTGGACAGAGATGTCCATCTAGACTGAGGTTACCAGACGTCCCTGTTTCCCCGGGACAGTCCCTGGATTTACAAATCAGTCCCCTGACAAAATCTATCTATTTAGTAGGAAGTTGGTATTGGACTTACAGTGATCGACTTAGTTGGGACTAAACCCTTGAATACCACAAGTCAAATCCAAAAAATTATGTTAACTTTTTTCTCTACTAGACTGCCCTCACTGATTCATAAGCTGAAATTCAGATTGTCTTGTCAAGCAGAGTTTTTCCAACCCGGCTATTTCACAATTATATTCTTGCACCCCTATGCAAGATGAGGACTGGTGCTACAGAGGGGCCCACAAAACCAAAGCCTGGATCCCCAATGGAAGTAATGACATCGCAAAAAAAACTTGACAGGTGGGGAGGAAACAGACATGCCCGAGTTGAATTTGCAGAATCATGCCCAACATCAAAATAACCAGGTGAGCTAAAAGGAACAGCCAATTCCTCTAGACAATCATCTTCAGGAATCTGAGCACTCTGTAAATCCTTTGGAAGAGGATTTTCTCAGCTCTTTTAGGAATCTCCCTCAGGAAGAGCAACTGTCAGGAAGAGGCTTGATCTTATGAGCCAGACATTGAAAGAGATTAAAGAATCAGAGGTAGAGACTGGCAATAGACCCAATGGCCACAACAGAATGATAACTACAGAACCACCGGAGTGCTGGACAAAGATGAGATACTTAGATGAGGAGGAGTCAGAAACTACGCCCAAGGAATCCCTGCTGGTGAGCAATTTGCAAAGAAAAGGCCCAGTGAGTACTTTATGTACAACAACTGAAATAATTGAACATCTGGATCATTTCACTAGCATTAGCAATACCCTGTTGCCTCAAAAACTGGTAAACTCTGAGAGTACATTGGCCAACAATTGACTAAGAGTAAATCACTGTAAAACAATTAAACTTCTCTCATGGAATGTAGCAGGGTGGCCGAACAAGATCCAAGACAGTGATTTCTGTTCCTATCTCCTATATCATCTTTCTTCAAGAAACTTGGGCAAAAGAGGGCACTATGGTTGAATTACAGGGTTTTACAAGTTACACTCAACCAGCTCTTAAAACTGTAAAGTATGGAAGGCCTAGCTGGTGGTGCTGGTGTCAACATCTCTTAATGTATCCATTCAACAGTGTCCCTCACTGACCACCCCTAATTTTTTAATGTTGTCCCTTGCTGATAGTCTCTGGAGAAATACTTACTGTATCTGCGTGTACATACCGCCAGTAAAGTCTTGTGGAGAACTGAGATCATATAAGGAAAAACTTGACCAACTACTTGAAAGCACAGATTCTCTCTCACCCAACCCTCGGCTTGTATTGGGCGGCAATTTTGGTGCCCGAATCGGCCTTGTTTCCCCACAAAATACAGTATTATCTGGATTAAACTTGGAAGATGAACCCGAAATCTGTCAGAGGGCAGCAATGGACACTACCTCTAACCACACTGGGAAATACCTCTGTGAACTTATAATTAAGCATAACCTTTTGTTATGCAATGAGCACAGTCAAGGGGATCAAGAGGGTTATTTTATTTTTATCTCCCCCAGAGGATTTACTAGCACCATAGATTACATCCTAACATCCAATAATGTGCCAATTAACCGAGACACCTTTAGGATAATTCCCAGAGCTGAAAGTGACCACTTTCCACTTGAGTTATCTCTGACATCATTCGTTTCTCCTGCTTTTCCTAAATTATTGGATTTTAAGTTTTATGTATTAATCCAGCATATTTCCTTTTAACTGTTGAATGATTCTGTGTACATTGCAGCAGCCTTTGGCGATGTGCAATAAAACTGACTGACTGACAGTGACAGCATCCCAAAATGCAACTGCAGCTGGTGTGCACAACTGAACTCAGCATGGATTGGCTTTTAGGATGCTGCTGCAACTGGTCCTAATTGAGCAATTACAGCAGTGTGCTAAAAGTCAATCTCAGCTCTGTTACTATTGCTAGCTTGAAGATCTGAAGGCTGGAGAAACTGGAAGGTGCTTCTTCCTGCTACTGCCACCCCAGCTTTTCAGGCAAAGTTCCGCTGCAGCTCTGAGGTAGTCTGCTACTGAATGTACCACTGACACCTGAAGAGGCAAACTCCCACACACTTCTTTCTGGGCTAAGCACCAAAGAAAAGATGAATGGTCTGCCATCTCACCATTCAGATGGCAGTACACGGTTTCCTACTTTCAACACAAAGTGGTGTCTGGGGGGAAATAAGTGGCTTTGTGCCAACAGGTGCTACATGGTGAGCTGGTCACAATAGTAAGACATTGCTTATCTCAAATCCTATCTTAATTTCAAGTAATACTTTGACTTCGGCTAATACAGTGGGACCTCGGGTTACATACGCTTCAGGTTACAGACTCCGCTAACCCAGAAATAGTACCTCGAGTTAAGAACTTTGCTTCAGGATGAGAAGAGAATTCGTGCTCCGGCGGCGCGGCAGCAGCAGGAGGCCCCATTAGCTAAAGTGGTGCTTCAGGTTATGAACAGTTTCAGGTTAAGAATAGACCTCCGGAACAAATTAAGTACTTAACCTGAGGTACTCCTGTACTACAAACTAAGCCTGTCTGGAGGTCAAGCCGTAGAGAATGAGTTTGAAGTAGGAAGGAACAAAACATCCAGCGGGCTCCATTCCACCTGTCATCCAAATTTGATGGGCATTTCACTAGCATATTCACACATGGCAGTATCCAATGCTGCTGTTATGCAAGCAGAACAGACATCCATTTGCACAACAGGTCTTTTCCTACCTCTCCTCCCTGCTTGCAGGCATCCACCCGCCCTCTAAGTATGCTCCAGAGGTTTGAGGTACACCCCCAGAACAGATTTGGCCAATGCAACAGGCTCTGAAGGGGGGAGGCAAGGAAGTGTTATTATAGGCATTTGAAGAGTACACATCAGCCATGTTCCCAGGATAGTTTACATGAAAAAATACAACAAAGAAATTAAAATATAAATACAAACAAGCAGAATAAACTAAAGAGGCTGAAAAATAAACTTAAGACCATTCCACAGCAGCCAAGTATTTGCCATATTCTTGTCAAACACAAAACTGCTTCTTTCAATCCCGATACAACATGATAGGCTTTCCCACTGCAGAGCTTCTTGAACAATCTAAAATTAAATCTATAATTTGCTTGCAGTTATTGTGTTAGTGGAAACCTTTCACAATCGGTCCTCCTATCCCCTATGCTTTAGCTGGAAAGAAAGAAGCCCCCCGCCCCCATTTCAAGTCTAATTCTTGATCTGAAATTTAGATGAGCCCAGGTTTTGTGTCTGCTGTCTGAACGCATTAAGAATAATCATTTAATTCTCCATGTATTATTGGTCCTAAGCTTCAGGATATGGTAAACAGCAGATAAATCATTTGCAGTCCTTGCCATTTTTCCCTGTGCATATTTGCAAACTAAACCTTTGCCTGATATAAATTGCTAAGTATGTGTGAAATATGCTAATTCAGTAACTTCTCTCTTTTCCAGTTTCTACACTGACTAAGAAACATGGCCTTCTACATACTGTAAATTATGGAAATCAATCTACAACTGCTGCAATGCAACACTAGTCTGACATCCAGGCAGCACTTTGCCAGCCTCTGGGCTGTATGTTTATGGCTTGAAGCGGGTGGCATGCAGGCATGATAATGGCTACAGAAGCAATCAAGGAGAAAATACATAGGAAGTGATGGAATAATCTATGACTATAACACCAGCATTTATACGAGGTTCTCTTCAGTAGCATCAATCAGCTGCCCTAGCAGAAAATCCTTACTATTATCACCATCAGCTGCTTGGTTTTCCAAGTGACAACAACAAAATCAGCCTAGACTTCTTTGTCTTAAACAACAACTACTGAATCAGCAGGTGGAACTCTGCAGAACTTGGGAGGTAAACATTAGCTCTATTCATGTGATACCAGATTGCTGGGAGAATGGGATCACACCTGCCTCCCACCCCACCCCAGAGTTCATGTGTCATCAGAAGCTTCAAACAGAACCAACATGTGTGCAAGTAGTACAAGTCTGGAGGACCTGCATTTTGTCCCCACACCTTCCATATCTTCAACAGAACAGATTTCTGTTAAAGCCATAGGAGCAGTGACTGATAAATGACATGGCAATCCTATGGGCTGTCTTTCATTAAATGCCTTTGAGAAAGCACAGGTGGTTAAACTACCGTATTTTTCGTCCTATAGGGCGCACCGGCCCATTGGACGCACCTTGTTTTTTGGGGGGGAAATGAATAAAAAAAAATTATTCCCCCCCAGCCGCGGCTGCAGCCCCAAGCCTTGCGCACACCCGCCCGAAGCAGGGGGCGCCCTCCGGAGGGCGCCCCGTGCCTCGGGCTGCAGGCTGCTGCCCGCAAGCCTTGTGAGCCCGTGGGACCTCCCGCCGGGCTTGCAAGGCTTGCGGATAGCTTCCTGAAGCCTGGAGAGCTAGAGGCGCACCGACCCCTCTCACTCTTCAGGCTTCAGCGAAAGCCTACATTCGCCCCATAGGACGCACACACATTTCCCCTTCATTTTTGCAGGGGAAAAGTGCGTCCTATGGGGCGAAAAATACGGTAACTTATCAGAGGCATGCTTGCTACACTGCATAAACCCACCTGCTCTGATCTGAGATCCTGAAATTAACAAATGGCATTTTATGAGGGTCTGAAGTGGTACCTATCCAATACGTCCCATCTAACCTTGTGCTCGTGCTTTTGAATGCATAGTTTTCCCTCCCTTCCTAGTTCTTTATTTCATCACTTTTTGCTTTATGCCTGCTTGTAAATTAATCACTTAGACATCCAGATTAATGGTAAAGGTAAAGGGACCCCTGACCATTAGGCCAGTCGTGACCGACTCTGCGATTGTGGCGCTCATCTCGCTTTATTGGCCAAGGGAGCCGGCGTACAGTCATGTGGCATGACTAAGCCACTTCTGGCAAACCAGAGCAGTGCACGGAAACACCGTTTACCTTCCCACCGGAGAGGTACCTATTTATCTCCTCCACTTTGACGTGCTTTTGAACTGCTAGGTTGGCAGGAGCAGGGACCGAGCAACGGGAGCTCACCCCGTCTCGGGGATTCGAACCGCTGACCTTCTGATCGGCATGTCCTAGGCTCTGTGGTTTAACCCACAGAGCCACCCACGTCCCTAGACATCCAGATTAGCCTCTGCTTATTAAGCAATGCAAACATTCAATAGAGGCATTCAAAACAGACACTACAATTATGATTTTGCTCAAGTCAAAAGATTATTTCTTAAGAAGTGATGCTGACACAAAGCTCTTCATTCCATAGCTCTATTGAATTGAAAAACGAAATACAAAGAATGCTGGCTTTTTCTTATGCTATAAAAGCAGGGGCACACCTCCTTTCTGCAAAACAACAGAATATAGTTTATATCCTAACTAGGTTGCTGAGGGTGGGATTGTACTTTAAGCAGAGTTCTTGCCAGTGGAAGTGAGATGACTGATGTACACTTTCTGCCTCTTCCCACAAGGCAGCCTTGTGCCTCCCTGAAAAAAAATAATGCACTGGTAGGGCCCTCTGGAACATGAAAGGCAGCACTCAGCATTGCAGTGGGAAGGGGGATATCTGTGAACTTTGTTCCCCTCTATTGTTTGGGATCCTCCACTGCATCTTGGTTCATCTCTGAATGGAAGAAGCCTTTCAGTTCATAGATACCTAGTTAGGATTCAAGCCTATGTTTTCAGCAAAGCAGTATGATGGAAAATAGCAAAAAGTCAAGAAAAGGATAAGTCAAATAATGAATTAATAGAAAAGACAAGTGGAGCCCCTATAATAAATTGCCGATGATCTGATATATTACAAGTACACACTTCCATACACAAATGAAAAGAACTGAACATAATGTCCCCACGTAGCATTATCTTTCACCTTCAGTGTATTGTACAGTCTTCAGTGGACTGCAACAGGCTGTTAAAGATAAATAGACTTTCATAAAACTGTATGAATGGCTTTATTGAGTAGCTAACATGGCCACTGTGATAAACAGCAACATGCATGGGCTTTGTACACCACACTTATACCCTTTGTTAATTAAAACTGCAGAATAAAAAAGGAATCAAACAAGGTGATCCTATGCACAATCAATAAAATTTGGGTTTACATTGCTTCCTCTTTGCAGCTTAGAAGCAGGTCTTGTAATATATTTTTGTTTGTGTTTTTAGAAAAATGCTAATCAAAATGCCAATAGGTTTATCAATAGTCAGCTGAATTTTTGTTAACAAAGCTTCACTGTGAACTTTATATAATTCACAAGCAGCAAACAATGGAGCAAAAGTATTCCACTTCTTCCGATTTACAAATAGATCAAAAATTTCCATAGCTAATGTTATTTAGCTAATATAAAACACCAAAATAGTTGTGTACTATAAAAGCATATTTCAGCCTATGATCACAGAGCAATACAAAATAAAAAGGCCTTTGCCTCCTCCACTCATGGAGTTTTGCAAGTGTGAAGTTGTTTACTATGCCACTATCCTCTTATCAAGCAGTAGTTAATGAGGTGGTTTTCAAAAATGGTTATAAGACTCAGCTCCACATTTGTTCAAGGCTGCTAATAAGCTGGACTCCCTCATGTAACTGTTATCAAGATGCTAGTTAAGCTTGTATCAAGCATTTTCTTTAGCAAAACAATGGTCTAAATGGCTTTGAAGCTATTCCATAGCATTCAAATCACATAAAGGAAGCATATCTATAAAACAGCAAGAGGATCTGAGGAGGGGGTGGGGAGATGAGCATTTGAGGTATTTCAAAGTTTTGTGTATTTGCCAGGTTAAACCTGAACTCTTACACTAAATCTGAAATTAGTGGACCTTACTTCTAAGACCTTACTTCTGCCAACCTAGCAGTTCGAAAGCACCTTCGGGTGCAAGTAGATAAATAGGGACCGCTTACCAGCGGGAAGGTAAACGGCGTTCCGTGTGCTGCGCTGGCTCGCCAGATGCAGCTTGTCACGCTGGCCACGTGACCCGGAAGTGTCTGCGGACAGCGCTGGCTCCCGGCCTCTTGAGTGAGATGAGCGCACAACCCTAGAGTCTGGCAAGACTGGCCCGTACGGGCAGGGGTACCTTTACGTTTACCTTTTACCTCTAAGTGGACATACATAGGAACCACTGCATGTTTGACTTTAGGACTGTTACTCTAATGTGAGGGGCACATCTGTATACCATATTGATGTGGAGTGTTAGTTTAGACTGCCTGTGCATTCTACAGCAACTTTCCTCACCCTGGTGTTGAGGACTGCAACATCTATCAACTCCAGCAGGGCCCTGTTCCAGGCTATTTAAGGGTGACTGAAACATGCATATCTACAGTGCACATTTTTAAAAGATGCATATAGGTTTCATGCATTGTGGAATATATACAGTACACAGATGTATATTCTCAAATTTCCACAACTTTTGAAGCACATTTTAGAATTCAGCTTTAATGCAGGTTACCTACAGCCAAGACCTCAGGCACAACTGTCCCTGTTGCCATTGTCTGTGTCTGGAAAATGAGGGTATATTTGCAAGACCAATAGTTTCACCATGCAAACAATGTAGGAAGAATTACTGTGTAAGAGTAAAGACAAATAAAACATTTTAACATGACAAAGGTAGACTGATAGTGCCTTCACTTTTCTGTAAATAAATCATCATATTTCACCCTCACTGGGATGAGCTCTTCTTCTTTTTTGCAAGTTTGAGAGTGGATCACCAGAGTGTGCAAAACCCGCCTTGGACTTTTAAGATGAAAGGCAGATACTAATGCTGACTATGGAGTACACCTATTAGCTACTTCCTGTGATTTCACAGAACTCCTACCTCTAATCTACATATCAGTTTTGCAACTGTTTTTTATAAATTTGTCAATTTTAGTTTTTAAAAGATGAATAATACAGTGGTACCTCGGTTCTCGAACGTAATCTGTTCTGGAAGACGGTTCGACTTCCGAAGCGTTCGAAAACTGAAGCGCAAAGGGCTGGCTGCAAGTTCAATTGGAAAAATTGGGGGGGAAACAGCGGAAGCCGTTCAACTTCTGAGGTAGGTTTGAAAACAGAGGCAATTACTTTGGGGTTTTCGGCATTCAAAAAACAAAATGTTCGTCTTCCAAGACGCTCAAAAACCAAGGTACCACTATACAAATAAAGATACAGTGTGTCACTTAAAAGACAGGTAGCTCATCTGATGCACAGTAAGAGAAGCAGCTCAGAAGCTAGTCTAGCGTTCATTTTACTGGTTTGCCATCTGTCACACAAATTGTGATGCTGGCCTGACATGATGGCTCTTTGTGACTGTACTAGCCAACTGTCTTTAGCCAACTCATCTTGAGGCAGCCTTAGAGACTTCCCTCAAACCTACAGAACCTTCTTTAGATCCCACTCCTTTGCATTTTCTCATCAAGTGTCCAGGTCTATGACAAAAACCAGATGGGGAACCATTGCCCACAATTTTTAGCAGTTGCATGCTCAACAGGTTGCCTGTCCACAAAGCCTTCAGCCAGCACCAAGGAGTTGATGGTAACACTCTAATCTGATTTCTCAATCTCAGTTTGTGTGATTTTTGGTTCACTCATCCTCAAATAAATGAGACGGATCTTAAATTAACTGTGGCTTTACTAGTACCTTTCTTCTTATTTGAACAGGACCTTGCAAACCCTAAGGACAGCCCCATTCCCACAGTTTATTTTGATAAACGCATATTTTCCTTCAGCCAGGAAAAAGCACAGTTGCATTTAAATGTCACTGAAAAAGGCCCAATACTATCTAAAATTGGCTGCTTAACCCCTCTTCAGACAGCTGCTCAAATATTAAAGCATTATCTAAAGCAGTTTTACAAAGCTCTTATCTACATAGAACCACATTCTGATCTCATTTGCCCTGGTTTAAATCCAGAGTAACTGCATTAAGCTGGTAGTGCTAATTCTGCTTACATAATGACCATTTATATTGATATTGAAATCAGATTCTCACTCTAGTGTCATAAAACTAACCCTCCATGTATCCATGTCAATCCCATTTCCAGTTCTTAAGAGTAAAGGGTTTGGACTCTACTTTAACCACAAATTAGTACAGTAGTTGGTTGAAACTTATGGACTGATACAGACAAATCGTGCAAACAATGCAAAAAAAATAAAAATCTGACACTGAAGATTACTCAGGAATAATAGCATAAAGTAATGGCAAAGAGAGGTCCTTCCTTCAGTTTTAAGACTCAAATGCTCACTTTGTTTA